TTGCCACATCAATTGCATGATCTACTCAGGAAGGCTATGCTTATCAGTATAGTTATCTTTATTTGGCACAGTGGTTAGTGCCTGGCTGCTAACCAGAAGGCTGGTGGTTCAAACCCATCAGCCACTCCTCGGAAGGAAGGTTGGGCAATCTACTTCCGTAGTGATACTGTCTCGGAAACCCAGGGAGGGGTCACTATGAGTCGGGTCTGACTCGACGGCAAAAAACAAGAAGAAGAAGTGTGCCCCTGTGATTTTATGTCAGGGAGGGCTTGCTTCAATTGTAAAGGTTTTTGCAGTGTGTAAGAGCAAGTTAGTGACAACAGTGGCAAGCTGTGCTTGACAGCTGATTATTGCTGTGCCCATGGTTGGAATGTTGCCATCCAGAGTGATTAATAATTTGAAGTCATGAAGAATAAAAGGCCCAGTGTCATCATCATCAAATGGCATTGATTAAGTATTTTTATGTACTCACAGGTATATGGATATAGCCTTTGCTTTATGGGAAAGGATAACCCCAAACAGTGTGACTATACACAGTCCTCGGATACAATCAGAAGTAGTGCAAAAGAAAAGAAGCATTATCCAGTAGTTAGAGTCCATCAGTCTGTTGGTTCATTTGTGGTATTTAGTGGTCTGTAAGAGACTACACATTTTTGTTCCCAAAGCACTGATTTTGTTTGTATTGTATTGTAAAGGTATATTTAAACAAATACTGATTACTGAAGTTGAAACCGTTGGGCAGAAATGGAATCAGAAGGAACCCGACTGGCAGAGTGTGATGTGTTTTGGGGGCTCTGCTCCCTTCTGCCTGCTTCCTGGGTGCCTATTCCATGCTGTCTTGGTGCTTCTGTAGCCACCTAAAGTTCCAGATTTATCTTGTTTCTCTACTTGGCTAAAACATGCATTCTGGTGGTGATTTAAAAATTGCATTTTGGTGAGAATATGGAGGCTGATGCCTGTGGAATCTTTATTCAAAGCCAAACTTGCTGAATCCCTTCATCTGATAGTTAAGGGTGAAGGGAGTGGCAGGGTCAGCTTGGGATCATGTATAAGGTGTCAATGGCTGTTGTGCAGGTTTGTATTTGGAGCTTGAGATGGCAAGAGCAATGTAGAGTTCTAAAATAAAACCAAAATTTAATATTATTTTAAAAGTTTTTTTTCTGACTTTAACAGGGGTACATACCTATTATGTTGTTGTTGTTATGTGCCGTCGAGTCGGCCCCGACTCATAGCGACCCCTCCTTGGGTTTCTGAGGCAGTATCACTACGGAAGTAGGATTGCCCAACCTTCCTTCCGAGGAGTGGCTGGTGGGTTTGAACCGCCAGCCTTCTGGTTAGCAGTCAAGTGCTTTAGCCACTATGCTACCAGAGCTCCTATACCTATTATAGAGTGTTTAAAACAGTGTTTCTTAGTTCCTGCATTGATCATTAAGGCTTGTTAAAAATGCAGATTCCTCAGCCCTGCTGTGAGCCCTCCAAGGAAGATGGGCTCAGAAATCTGCTTTTTTAACAAACCCCAAACAATTCATAGACAAGTTAAATTTTTAGAACCACTCACGTTGAGCACACACACAACTATGATGAAGAAAATAGAAAATAAAATTCACTTCTAATCCATCTCTCAAAGATTATTACTCTCAGAGCTAAGTCCTTATAGCATTTTGTTTTGTTTTCTGTGTGTATGTTTGTTTCTATGTGTTTTTAAAAATTGAGCTTATATTGTACTTGTAGTTTTGTACCTGCTTAACATTGTATCCTGAGTGTTTTCCCATGCCATTAAATATTGTTCAGAAACAAGATAATTACACATTTGCCTTTGGATCCATTTTACTCTGTATCGTTTTACAAAGCTTGTCACAAACCATGACAGGATATGGGGGCTGACACTTTAAGGTTCGAGTCTAAAAGGGTGGCACCACTTAGTCTTGTCTCTGCAGGTAGAAGAATTGGAGAGTGATGTTATTTTGATGTCTCCTTGGTTTTTTATATGCAGATAGCCAATAGATTATAGATGGACAAGTCTAATTGGAATTCTCAAAAATTTTCCCATTTTTACTTTTGCCCTAAAATAAATGTAGATGTTATAAACCATAGTATTATCTCCTGGAGACCTGTCGTTGTTGTCGTTAGGTGCCGTCAAGTCATGTCTGACTCATAGTGACCTTAAGTACAACAGAATGAAACACTGCCCAGTGCTGTGCCAGCTTCACGATGCTTGCTGTACCTGAGCCCATTGTTGCATCTACTGTGTCAGTCCATCTTCTTGAGGGTCTTCCACATTTTCATTGACCCTCCACTTTACCAAGCATGACATCCTTCTCCAGATAATGGTCCCTTCTGACAACATGACCAAAGTAGATGAGATGAGGTCTGGCCATTCTTGCTTCCAAGGAGCATTCCAGCTACACTTCTTCTAGGACAGATTTGTTGGTTCTTTTAGCAGTCCATGGTACTTTCAGCATTCTTTGCCAACACCACACCACAATTAAAAAGCATGAACTCTTCTTTGGTCTTCCCAGAGAAGACCTGTTTTTGACACTAAAGAAGTACCTGGCAGGTGCCTATAACTTCTATAGTTAGTGTGTCTTTCTATTTACTTTTAACTTATATTACTAGTCATTAAGAGATAATATTTTAGGGGGCTACCCACTGCCCAGTGGATCCCCTTACCAGTCCCTCACCCAAGCACCTCCAAGTTCTTGGCTGGGCAATCCTGCCCACCCCTGCCCCTATGCCTTCATGAGATTTGACAATACAAAGCTTCCTCTGAAGCCTCTGACCTTGACCTTAAACTGCAGCTGCCACTGGCCATTTGCCCACTGACCCCACCCTGACCCAGGTAGCCCTGTGCCTGCCCAGGAGAGGGCATCAGGGAAGTGTAAGGGGCTCTACAGGTGCTGGTCAGCTGACATGGGTGAGTCCTGCTGGGCCCCAGGCATGTGAGTATTCCATCTCAGGCTCCTTTGACCATGGTCAGGTCTGTCCCTGCTGAATCTCAGAACTGGGGCCAGTCCCTAGGGTCCTGCTTCCTCCCCGGCTCCAGGGGTGGCCCATATTCAGGACAACTGGCTGCCATTGCCCTGGTTATAGCCCTCTGTGGGCATCTGGACTACCCGGGAGCACCTTGTCCTTCCCGGCCCACTTCTGCCCCCACTCCACTCTACCTAGCATGCTAGAGGCTTAGGGGGACCACATCCCTTCTTCTTCCCAGGCAATGGAATACTATGCAATATAAGCTTCTTTTCTATGTGTACATGGAGTCTGCCGGTCAGGGACTTTGACATTTGTTACTGCCAGGTGTGCATCGTTAATGTGCAAAATAACCTATAGTAGATTTTTTTTTTTTTTTTTTTTTTTTTTTTACTGTTGTTGTAAATATGAAAGATGAGATAACGAGATAGTTGGTAAGTGAGGAATAGGTGTATTAAGACAGCATCCCTCCACTGGTATCCTTCCTGTAAAAACTTAGCATAAGGCCTGGTGTTTGCCACCCAGGATCTTTCTTAGCTCATCCATTTTCATAGGATCAACTGGTATCCATGTGCTGCTGACTACAAAATATTTAATACCTATTTTCAATGATTTTTATAAGCTATAAAGTCAATAAAATAGAGTGTAAATACATGCCCATTTCATTTATACAATTAAATTGTATGTGTTTATGAGAGAGAGAAAAGTAGAGAGGAGAGAGAGAGAAGAAAGTGACACAGAAAGAGGGAGTGAGGAAATAATTTAAATAGCTTGAGCAATACCATCATCCAGTTCTTTCAGTAAAGCATAGAGAGAATGGTGGTACAACTTAAAGAATATAATCAGTGTTATTGAATTGTACATATAGAAATAATTGAGATGGTTTATATTTGGTTACATGTATTTTCACCAGAATAATGTTAAAACAAACAAAAAGAGACAAGTGGTTTTAAAAAAAAATACAAACATTTTAAACATTTATTGTTCCATGTCCCATGTAAAAGACTAACCTAAATGTCCACAGTTTATACATGCAAAAAATAAAATGACTAAAGTTCATCAATAATATGACTAAGTTCACTTCCTTTAAATAGCAACCATTATGATTACAGTGTTTATTAATCTAAATACATTTGGAATTTGAGATGGCCACTTTGAATTTAAATATATGCCAATTAGAAATAAACTTAGTTATTTGAGTAATATATAAAAGCAATAGCCCTAAATTGTGTAGATGTGGATTATTCTGGGTATTGTCCATAATGAAATTACAAGAAAGAAATTTGCAAGTCATCTATTTCCTGGCTAAATTTTAGGAGTAATGAACTTTCAGAGAATATTAAAATGTCCAATTTCTTTCTTCTATGACAGATGCCAGAGATGCAGAGCAATTGAGTAAGAATAAGGTGACACATATTCTGTCAGTCCATGATAGTGCCAGGCCTATGTTGGAGGTAAGAGAGAGCTATGGGGGGTGAGTGTGTGTGTGTGTGTGTGTGTGTGTTTTAGTCTTGAACTATAATTTTTCATTTGTGTTCAGGAAGAATGAATATGACATTAGTGAAGATAAACATATTCTATTGGACACCAGTGTTCCTGTGATTGTTAGTGGTAGTAATTTGGTGCTCAGGCCATATTTATATTGATGCTCTATCTTTGGCCTGGTGGAGGGGAAGGGTGTGTTATTTTCCTGATTATACTCCAGCTGCATTGCTAGCATGGCTTTCTTGGGTTTATGCCAAAGAAAAAGCTGATGCTGCATTCCCCTCTGGATCCTAAGGGCATTCAAAATTCATTTTCATTACTTTCAAAGTGATTGCCTATTTCAGGATTCAAAATAATTTAGGCTGAATTTTTTTTTTTTCCATTTAAGCTCAATTATCTACCATTTGCTTTCAGGAATAAAAGAGATAAATGTCACCTGAGATTTTCCAGGGATTCTCTGGTACAGAGAAGATCAGTGTAGAATCTTTTGATGTTTATTAGCGTTTTGGGGTAAACAGGGTGTGTCTGCCTGTATACTAATTCCAAAAACATCTTGAGTTTTAACCCAGTGGACAGTTTGTTTGAGCTGTTGGCTGGGAGTGAACTATTTGTTTATTAGCCTTGAAAGAGTCTATGTCACTTCTTTCTAGAAAATAATGCATGTGTGGTTGTGATGTGTATGTGTTTTTCTACTTTAGGGTGGGGTATTGGAGAGGGAGGGGTTACTTGTTCTGAAGAAATAGTTCTGGTTCAAGCTGTTTTCATTTAAATTCATATAATTTGAAAGTAGGTAATATTTTTTATCTATTTTCTTTAGCCATTAAAGCTGCCAGATTTCAGTTAATATAAAGCAAGCTTCAACAAATGAAAACATAGAATAATAAATGATTTTATTAAAGTTTGTAGTACCAAAGCATAGTAGGGATGAGCAAACATCAATTTATTTCTCTGTATCTGTGAGTTTATACTTCCTTATATTGTTTTAGCTCACAGTGTTTTGTTAAAATGCTGTAATTTGTGTTGCAGCATGATTTTATTAAAGAAATATCATTACTAAGAGCCTAAGTGATCCTTTGAAAATAATGACTCTGTCTTTTAATTAATCAACAATTATTTATATTAAAAATATACCCAAACTATGGCAAAGATGATATGGTAAGTTAAACTGAACACTGTCATTATTGACTTCCTCTTAAATCACAAGATGAAACTTGAGGTTTCCTTTTTTTGAAATAAATTACATGTATGTTCTTTCTAAGGAGCCCTGGTGACACAGTAGTTAAGCACTCAGCTACTAAGTTGAAAACTGAAAGGTTGACGGTTTGAACCCACCCAGGGATTCCATGGGAATCTGGTGATCTGCTGCCATAAAGATCACAGCCTAGGGAACCCTATGAGGCAGTTCTACTCTGTCATAATGGGTCACTCTGAGTCAAAATTCAACTGCAAGTCACCCAACATGTTCTCTCCATCCAAGGCTGTTTTGCTACTTTATGTTTAATGTAATACATTGTTATGTGGGAACTTTGACCCTAAATCTGTTTAAATTGTAACTTCAATCTAGCCAAAGATCTTTAAATGTTGGAAATGAAAGAGGTCTAATCCTTATCTGTTCAACCACCCCATTTTATACACAGAGAAACTAAAGCTAGAGAATTAAGTGGTTTGCCTGAGTCACAGGAAAAACAGGTGAGATTGTAGCCCAGGTATAAATAGATCACTGTTTGCTTAAAAATCTCAGCTGTAGGCCATCTGTGTTCCCCTGTGTTATAAAAAGTAACATTGCGTATTATTTTTTTTATTCCCTATGTATATTAGTCTATAAAGACAGATTCTACCTTTAAAAAAGAGAGGGGGGGGGATAAGAAAGAGGACAGAAGGAAAGGAAAAAGAAGGAAGGAGAAAGGACAGAGGAGGTTCCATAAAGCCCCAGCAAGTCAGACTTCATTTAACCACTGGGTGATGTGTATAGTCAGTCTTCCATCTTCCAGTTCAAATCCAGTTCAGGAAGCTCTGACCTCACCCAGGTCTTTGTTTGGAGTTGGTAAGGGACCTGGTGGGGGTGATTTTGTTTTGGGGCAGCTCCAAGTTGTGCTGGTCCTGATCCTTGGGGGAAGGTAGATAGGGGAGAGGACAAATAGTACACAGGGCCAAACATCTGCAAGGACTGCTTCCCAGCCTGAGGGGTGGCTTTAATTAAGGGTGCGGAATAAAAGGTGGGAGAGAAGAGCAGGACTGACCTCATTTCTGATATCTTCTAAACCATGGATGTTCATTGAATGACCCCTAGCTTACTCTGGACAATCCTATTGAGAGACTGGGCCAGACGTGGGGAGGTGGTTACTGTCAAAAATTAAGGTTTAGTGCTTCTAGATTTATGAGGGAGTTCTGTGAGTCTTGGTGCTATGTAGTTGTGTATTAGACACTATGCAGTAGTATTTCTTTGGGACATTTTCCACAAACAGCTGAATGAGTTTAAAAGCTATATAGAGCCTGAAAATGTTTCTTGTAATGAGTGATGCTTAGCATCAATTATCCAGGATTTTTAGAATCTTCAATTCTGCTTTTATTGAGACAGAGGTTCTATGAGAGAGGATAGTCCTGTTGTTTAATGTGCTTTCTGGAACAGTAGACCTAGGATGCCATGCTTTGCAAAGTAGTAAGTGTAGAGAATTTAGCCCACCCTAAGCCCCTCTTAAAGGAGCTATAATGGTGCAATAAATAAAGCATTTGGCTACTAATCAAAAGGTTGGCAGTTTGGAGTACACCAGCCGCTCTGCAAGAGAAAGATGTGGCAGTCTTCTCCTGTAAAGATCACAGCCTATGGAAACATAATGGGACACTTCTTATCTGTCCTATAGGGTCTCTATGAGTTGGAATTGACTTGATGACAGTAGGTTTTGGGGTTTCCTAGGGCCCTCTTAAGTAGCTCTAGTGGTGTGATAGGTAGGGCATTTGGCTGCTAACTATAAGATTGACAATTCAAACCCATCAACTGCTCCATGGGAGGAAGATGAGGCAATCTCCTTCCATTAAGATTTACAGCCATGGACAGGAATAGACATATGCACACCCATGTTCATCACAGCACAATTCACTATAGCAAAGAGATGGAAACAACCTAAGTGCCCACCATCAGGTGAATGGATAATGAAACTATGGTACATTGACACAACAGAGTACTATGCAACATGAAAGAATAATGAAGAATCCATGAATCACCTCATAACATGGAAGAATTTGGGGGACCTTATGCTGAGTGAAATAGTCAATCACAGAAGGATAAATATTGTATGAGTTCATTATTGTAAAAAGTCAAGGGAAGGTTTATTCAGGGAAGGAAATTCACTTTGTTGGTTACCAGGGATGGGAGGAAAAATTTCTGACTAGTTAAGAATCACATGTTGATTTGAGTGAGGGGAAGGGATTGTATGGAAAGAGTCTGTGACCAGCATGGTGACAGTGGGGAAAGGGAGGACATAGAAATGTGCACAAAAGATACAGGCAACAGAGGCAAATACTATTATATGCACAATACTGCATTACTAGTGGCACCAAACACTAGGAATGGGTAAATGCATAGATAGGTGAGAAGATCAGTTCAGGGTAGGTGACCAAGGATAGATTTGGCTGAAGATAATCTTACTTATGTACTTGTGCTACAAAATTATCCACATACATTACAGAAGTAGCAGAGGACAGGGTTGGAGTAGCTTCTCAGAGACAACCCAACACCTTGAGAGAGAACCACCAGGCCTGCAGGCTCAGGACCATAGTCTTGGGGAATGTCATGCTCAGTTGGTACAACATAGTACATAAAAATCTTGTTCTACATCCTACTGTTTTGAGTAGTGACTGAGGTCTTAAAAGCTCTTGAGTGGACATCTAAGATGTAAAGAAGAGTGAAGAAAATCAAAGACATTTGGAAACAGTTAGTTATAGATATGATAGACTACGAGGGCCTCAGCCTTCACAACCCTGAGACCAGAAGAACTAAATGGTACCTGGCTACCAATGCCTACCACTCAGAAAGGAATCTAAATTGGAGATCCTAGATAGAGTAGGAGGGAAAATGTGGAACAAAATTCAAAAACACAAAAATGAGCAGAATTCCTGATTGGATAGAGATTGGTGAAACCCCCTAGACTATGGCCCTGGATTATCCTTCAGGCCTAGAAATGGACTCACTTCCATGGCTTGGCTCTCAGCCCAACAGTAGAAAGACCTACATGCAGAATCCCTACCCTAGGGAGATGCCCCCACCTACCTTAGGGAAGGCACCCCTTAGACTAATCAACCATGAGATATCAGAAAGGCAGCATTCACATAGAGGGAAAACTGGACAGACAGGAATGCATAGATAAGAAGGCCATAGGGAAGAGAGTCACAAGGTGGAGATGGGAAGAGAACTTTTTATCATTGGGGATTGTAACTGGCACTGTGAAACCAAATGTGCATGAACTGTTGAGAGTAAAATGAATCTGCTTTATAAATGTGTACCCAAATCAAAATTAAAAATTAAAAAAGAGAATACCAAAGGAAATAAAAGATTTACAGCCTTGGAAATCCAATGGGGTCACTATGAGTTGGAATCAAGTCAGTGGCAGTGGGTTTGCTTTAAGGTACTCTAGTGGCACAATGGTTATAGTGCTTGGCTGCTAACTGAAGGGCAGTGGTTTGAACCTACCAGTGGCCCCTTGGGAGAAAAGACTTGGTGATCTGCTCCAGTAAAGATTTATAGCCTAGAAAACCCTGTGGAGCATTTCTACTGTACAGAATCACTGTGAATCAGAATCTACTCAGTGACACATAAGAGGCCCCTCTTAAGGAGCCCCGGTAATGCAATGGTTAAGCACTTGACTGCTGACCAAAAGGTTGGTGGTTCAAACCCACCAAGATACTCTGTGGGAGAAAGACCTGGCAGTCTGCGTCTGTAAAGACCACAGCCTAGAAAGCCCTGTGGGACAGT